GGCACGACCAGTGCCAAGGTCGTGCCAGCCGCGCCCAGCAGCGCCTAGGGCCGCGCCCGATCGCACCCAGCATACCCAGCGCCGCACTAGGGCACCAGCAGGCATGGTGCGGGACCGAGCCTGGTCAGCCAAGCCACCGCCCGGTTCAGCCCAAGCCGGCGGTCCGGCCAATTAGCGAATCGGCCAGTTTAAGTGGCAGTTCGAGCGTTGATTTTTGGTTCGTGAGTTCCGATCCGAGTTTTATTCTGGACATTAAATATTTTTTCGAGTCAAACCCGCCAGTTTAGGTATTTCAGTTATAAATCTGGACTTAGTATATTTTTAAGCGAACCCATAGTACAATCTATTTTCATCCGGTAAGTGAGCATATAGAATCGAGCATATAGAATATAAATCTGAGCATTAATACTTAGCATTATTTTTCTTATATGTTTATGTAGCCTAAGGAGATTCGAGCCTCCAACTGCTACTTCAGTTCAAGCACTTTCCAGCTATTTTCTGTATACCAGGTGGGAGCCTTTACAGTACGTTACATTGTGCATTTTCAGTTGTCATGTATAAGGTACGCGAGTAAGTTATTTACTTGAGCGGTTGAATTATCCCGTTTGTGGTCGAGAGATTAAGTTTCTCCCAGGGTTTGGCGGCTGAGGGCCTGAATCTTCCCCCTGGTACCCGATATGAGGCCGAGGGCCTCATTTACGGGTTGTGTACACGAGCGGCCGAAGCAAGGGCCTATAAGGGTCTTTGACCACAAGAAAAGAATAGAAAAGAGAAGAAAGATTAAGTTCAGCTCTTATATATTGAAGTTCATGATATGTTATTATAGATGTTGTCTAATTCAATGTCGGCCAGAGTAAGAGTCATGTACTGGGTTTTACACCGTCTATAATTATTTTACCATGACTGAGGTATGTTCGAGAGATTAAGTTTCTCCCAGGGTTTGGCGGCCGAGGGCCTTAATCTTCCCCCTGGTCCCCAGTATGCGGCCGAGCGCCTCATTTACGGGTTGTGCACACGAGCGGCCAAGGGCCGAGCAAGGGTCTTTTGACCAAAGTTAAAGTTTAAGAAAAGTTTACAGTATAGTACAGTTTATTTATTTTATGCTGCTTTTGAGTTTATGTTTACAGTTAAGATTATTACAGTTCCAGTTCTACCACGAGCATGCAAATGTGCTCACACTCCCACACTCTTCCTTATTTCAGGTGTCGGAGTCCAGCGTGTCGGGTGAGCAGACGTGGCAAACGTGGTCATGAGTAGTGGACATTTTTACACACATCTTATGTTTTTAAAATTCATGAATTTGCATGTAATATGTATGTGTGTAATATGTTTCATTCATTTTTAGCTTCCGCTAAGTTTCAGTGCGAGACAAACGGACTGCATGTATGATTCCATTATCGCCGTAGTGGCTCATTTGGTTGCATGTTTTATTTATGTCCGAGATAGTAAGTTAAGAAAGTTTTCATAGCATCCCGCAATTAAGAAAGCGTTTTCGAAAATAAAATCGCACGACATTTCTAAAATAAAAGCGAAAAATTAACTCTGATTTTCAAAAGTCAAAAGCTAGTCAAGGCGGGGTGTTACATAAAATCAAACATCAGAGGGTTTGCTATTAAACTAAAGAGGTTCAATGATTGGAATCTTGAACCTGTGTTGCTTTTGCAAACCTTCACTAAACCTGCGAATCAAAAGATGAAAAAAAAAATAGAGAAGAGATGAGGGAGAGCAAAATAGAACTTTTCTATTTTATGGTTAATTTGTTAGGATCATGGCACACACGCAGAAAGAGAGAGTGGGAGAGTGGGCCCAAGCTTGATAAAATTTTCCCTCAT